CTTTTCTGATGAAGGGTCTAGGCCCGAAACGTCAGCCTCTCTGCTCCTATGATGCTGCTTGGCCTGCTGTGTTCATCCAGCCCTGCACCTTGTTGTCTCGGATTCTCCAGCATCTGCAGTTCCTACTACCTATAATAGGTTAATGTTTTGACTTCAGCCATTCATGTGATTGTTTTGTTAGGGACAAAAACATAAGCTGTTTAATACTCAGTGAATATCATCACATTTCTTTCATTTTATACATGTCTTACATTATTTATAGAAGTTCACAAAGGACAGTAAACACACAGCTGTATGTTTATCTTTATATTCAAATTTTGTCCATAAAATCACTATGCTTTACAGCTTCTTTTGCTGTTCGAACTTTTTGGACTAATAGCAGACTTATTACTCACTAAATCTTAAAGTATTGTCTATCTTCAAGCAGCTGGAGTATATGGTGGTTTCTATATTTTTTGTTGTGAAAACACACCAAAAGCACGTTGTAGCTTGGTGACATTCAGCTGCAAATTAGATTGGCATAACTGTGGTCATTGTGGATTGTATACATGGGTTGGTATTAAACTTTTCTCTACACCACTACCCTGTTGATATCCAACAAAAATGCTGACAGTGGACCATCATAGATTCATATTGCATTTCTAGCCCATATTTCAGATTCGGCATGGAAACGGAGCTGAACGAGAACAGGAACAGAATCCACACCTGACTGCTTTATCATTCTCCATTATACCAAATGGGAAAATTATATAACATGCACTTTTAAAAAAGAAGTTTTTCTGATAGGATGCAAGCATTGCCAGTATTTGTTACTCATCTTTAATTGCCCTTGAGAACACAGTGGTGAACTGCCTTCTTGAACCACTTCAGTCCATTTGGTTTAGATGCACCCACAGTGTTGTTAGGAGGGGAATCAAGAAACATAGAATTTACAATTCCATTTTTAAGGGGCTGAGTTGAGGCATACTTCTGATTGTTGACTTTTTTCAAAATGTATTGTAGAAGCTTATTTGGTCATTGCCAGAATATTGGTCAGGCTGGTGACAGTAAGTTGGTGTTAGATGAACAAAGGCCTGATAAGCAACATTAATTTTCATCAGAAAAGGTGAAGTACTGCAACTGTGTATAATACTGAAATATCCTCAACAGGTAGACATACAAGAAGTGAACACGACATTATTGAACATATCCTTGTAACGTTGTGTCAGCTGAAGTTGCACTTACTGTGCAACAGAAATTAAGGGGAGAGATTAGCATGGATGGAGATGAATTTGTATTGATTATGTAACCTAAAATTTCAGAATGAACCTGCAATTTATTTTGAAGTAGGTCAGTAACAAGCAACATGTTGAAACCTTGGATGTTGTACATCATGTTTTGTACATTGTATTCCTGTGTTGGTTAAACGTTTAGAAAACCAGGGATGTCCAAGACAAGATGCAGTGAGTATTACTAACTTGCTGCAATCTCTGGTGCAACTACATAGGAAGCAAAGAACAGATGGTAATCAGTCAACATGGAAAAATGGAGAAGGAAGCTGATGAATCGTCTGCCCTGGTGTAAGTGCCAGTTCAAATTGCTTTGATATCAGATATCTGAAACAGCAATTGTGCAGTAACAGTGACTGTAATCTAAGTTTGCAATCTCACTCCGTTTATTTTTCACGGAGTAAATAACTATAATGCAATTAATGTTGGTCCTTAGGTTTAAAAATATTGTCTCTCTGATATCCTATTTGGGTAAACCACAGAATGTGCTGGAGTATTACAATGGTGAGCTCGCTGCACACAGTTGATTTTCTTCATTCCTCCGTATATGCATAACTCTAAAGCATGCTAACCCAACCTGGACTTGTATGTTTAGATCATCTCTAGGCTAAATGATCACATAAGAAAGGCTTTTTTATACAGCACCTTTCATGACCTCAATGTCCTTTAGAGCCAAGGAGGTTCTACCAAAGTGTGGACACTTTCAGCAGTATAGAAACAGGAGTATGCCTTTCAGCACCTTTACCCTTTTGCACCATTCAGTGACTGAACTATATGTATCTGCCTTAACTCCACGTCCCTTGATGCCCTTGCAAATTAAATCAGTCCTGAACTATGATGCAGAAAGTGGGCCTAACTCTTGATGGGGCATCCACTCAGAGGAAGAAGAAAAGGCCTGCTGGAGCAGTCTGAAGGAACAATTATAGCTGGTCTTCAGGTCCTTCTTGTTGATCAAAGAGAGAGCTACCAAAACTCCAGTGGGCCCGGAAAAAAATATTCTTCTGTTTCAACATTCCACCAGCTTATAACTTACCCATTTGCCTCTTTCATATGCCACATTAAACCAAACATTCTCAGGTAGATTTAAAAGATTCCATGGCACTATTTCAAAGATGTAAAGGGGAGGCATCCCTCATGTCCTTGCCTGTATTTATCTTTTATCAACATTGCTGAAACAAACAATCTAGTCATTAAACAATTGATTTTTGTGGAAGCTTTCTGCAAGTAAATTTGTTAACATCTTTCCTGGATTACAATAATAATGCCATTTTGGCTATAAAATGCTTTGCGATGTCTTGGGGGTTGTGAAAGTCACTATATAAATGCAGGGATTTTCAAATAAATTTTCTAGAGCGGCTGGGCATGTACTGTAAAGGAAAGTAAATTACAGGCATCATAAGATTTTGGTCTGTGCCATTTGCTCACCTGGGAAGATGAAGTATGAGGCAGGGTGAAGGTGCATGCTATTTTAACATTTTTACCTATGTTTTAACTTGGCAAACTGAAGCAAAATGAGACGTGCTACGGAATGATACCTCTGTATATATCACTCAGTAAAGGGTAGGGAAGTGAGAGCTCAATATGTGGCCACAGAGATTCAAGTTAGCCAGCTCAATATTCCGACTTCCAATACCATTATTGTGTGATTACTGGGGAGGCCATGGCCTAGTGGTATTATCACGAGACTATTAATTCAGAGAACCAGGTAATGTTCTGGGAACCGAGGCTCGAATCTTGCCATGGCAGATGGTGGAACATAAATTCAATAAAAATCTGGAATCAAGAATCTAATGGTGTCCATGAAGCCATTGTTGATTATTGGAAAAAATCTTTCTCGTTCATTAATGTCCTTTAGGGAAGGAAACTGCCACCCTTACCTCATCTGGCCTACATGTGACTCCAGGCAGTTAGGGATAGGCAGTGATGCCTTCATCCTGTAAATGAATGAAAAAAGAATGTATGCAGAGTTGAAACTTGCAATGGTTAATTATATTTACTTGCCAAACTATTCAGCTACTGCTGTGGTTTTCAGTTTTGTAAACACTGCCATCTGCTCTTCATTTTCCTCTTCAGATCCGTTGTAATTAACCATCATGTAGTCATTTAGGGGAACACGATCATTTGAAGTTTTCCAGTCTTGATGTTGACCTCACATTTCCAAACTCACCAGGACAAAGGATATAACATTTCCAGAAATTTGGTGATACGTCACCATTTTACAATTTTAAATAGTCAGAAGTCTCCAGTCTCAAGCAAAATGTGGCTTGCATTGAAGAAAAGTATTTAGTCAGCAAAGTGGCAGTATACTCATTGTCTATGCTTTGCATTACATGACTCCATTTACTGCGCAAACTTCAAAAGCCACTTAGGGGCATATTTATTCAATTGAAAGAAAAGTGACTGGTCCCTGAAAATAATCATTAAATTCAATCAGATAGATTTCCCAGAAATTGCACATTACAATGGTATAAGTTCCTGGTGATGGCACAACAGAGATTCATGTTTCAGTTTTTAATATGAATTTAATATGTACATGCATAGATAGCAGATATGTGGTTATCTCAATTGCTTTAACTTAGCTTTGTGGTCATGCTCGGGGATGGGGGAGCACAATTATGAAGATGATTGGCCAGACCAGGGAGGGAGCTGTGCTGGTTGGCCAGATGGGCAGCTATTGTGGCTGATATTTGGCCTGTAATTGGCCAGGAAATTTAATGCAAATATTTCAAATCTTCTTTATGTATGTACGACTTTTTTCCATTTCTTTTCATTTTAGTCCTTTGCCATGCAGTGAGTTAAGAAGGAAATATCCTAATGATGGCTTATTCAGTTGATGAAATCCTTGGAAACCATTGATTTTTATTTGTTCCTGGCATGTGGGCATCGCTGGCTGGGCCAGTATTTATTGCCCAACCCTAGCTGCCCTTGAAAAGGTGGTGAGACGCCTTCTTGAAGTGCTGCATACGTCAATCATTTTGCTGGGGAGGGAGTTGAGATATCTTGGTTCAGTAACATGGAAGGAACAGTAATATGCTTCCTTTTCAGGATTGTGAGTGTAATTTGCAGGTGTTGGTGTTCCCATGTATCTACTGCCCTTGTCATTATCGATGGTCATGGCTGTGGATTTGGAAAGTGCCATTTCAGGGCCCTTGGTGAATGTTTATGGGTGCACTGCTAATCAAGCAAGCTGCGTTGTCCTGGATGACGTCAATCTTTTGTTTGTTGCTGGAGGTGCCCTCATCCAGGAAAGTGAGGGACATAGTGGAGAGAAGGCAGAGTTACTCACTGCAAGATTCCTAATCTCTGACCTATTCTGTACCCATTGTATTTATAAGAATGGTCCAGTTCAATTTCTGGTCAATGGTAATTCCCAGGATGTGGATAGTGTGAGATTCGGTTATTGTGATACCACTGAATGTCAAAGGGCTATGGTTAGATTCTCTTTTGTTGGAGACAGTCATTGACTGACACTTGTGTAGAATGAATGTTACTTGCCACTTGTTAGCCCAAACCTGGGCATTGAATAGGTTAGTGGAATTTGCATAGATAATCCACGTTCTTCCAATGCAGTACTAAAAGAGTGCAGTGTTGCGAGAGCTGCTGTTGTTTGCATGACATTTGAAAGTCAGGTCACGTCAACTGACGTGAGGTACAGATTAAAAGGTGCAATAGGCAGACAGTGAGGGTGAAACACTGAAAGGATGTGATCGATTGGATGATCATTGATCTCAATGCAAATTCCTGTCAAGGGAGAAGAACTCAAAGGGGGCCACAAATTGCAACATGGCACAAAGCGTTTATTTCATTACATGGGGCAGAATACAGGTCTGAGTGACATGGACTATGGTGAGATACATGGCACAATCAGTTGAGATGTTCAGCAAGGGCCTTCTCCACATCAAGATCATCTCAAGTGGCATGCTGAGACTCACGTTAGCAGTGGTGAATTCCCAATTGATACTCTACATCACTTGTTAAATGCTTTGTTACCAACCCACCTCATTTTGAGTAGCCGTCTTACCAGCTCTCCATGCAAACTAGCCATCGAGAAAAATCGACATGGAAACAGAGTGGGTTCCTGGTGGGTTCAACTTGCTGTTTGCTCCAAAAGACCCATTGTGGGTAGGGGCACCAACATTTCAGGCACTCTTCATGGGCACCATGAGGCACTCTTCATGGGCATCATGAACATGCACCGCATATCCACAGATATTGGTACCTGACATATGCAATACTCTAAGAACTCTCAGGCACATCACTAATCTACTAACAGATGGGCTGAGTGAACCTACTTCTGTCCTTACTTTCGGTGGTCTTGCAAAAGTGTAGCAGGTGGTACCCTGCCATTCTCCACCCCAGCTAGGTCCATGATACGTAGCATTGGGGGTGGCCTTCTCGCCTAGCCACCATTTGTGGCCCTGACGTGGGAATTTAGCGGGCACTGATTGGGAGACCTGGTATCAGAAAGCGTGGGCAAAGGCACATTTAGGGCCAGTTCCCACACTTCCCGCCAACTCCGTTCACTTCAACCGCCACCCTGTGTGATCCTCTCCTGTCATCATGCACCTGAGACCTGGGATTCAGCGACAATACATAGCCTTGGGTGGGGGTGGGGGGGTGTGCAGCAATTACCACCTCTGCAGTTACAATGCCATTCAGAAGTAATACTAGCGTCAGGCTGGTTAGTCACTCTTGGCAGAAACGGCCTACACCCTGGGGCTGAGTGTCACAGTCTCTGTACGAGGCAGTACTAAAGTCCAGGACTGTTCATCTGTAGATAAAGGCGACTTGGGGTATCACCCTCTGCGGACTTATTTCATTGGCGTAGGCTCCTAACCCCCTCTCCACCATGATTACCTTCACTAAATTCAGTTTCACTTCCTCAGCATTTCAAAATGTATTTGCTGTGTTTTCACTTCATTCAAGCAAGAGATTCAGAAGGGAAGAATAAAATATTTTTCTGCCTTTACCACCAAGTGCATGTCTCCTTAGGCAGCACAGTGGCACAGTGGTTAGCTCTGCTCCCTCACAGTGCCAGGGACCCAGGTTTGATTCCACCCTTGGATGACTGTCTGTATGGAGTTTGCACATTCTCCCCATGTCTGTGTGGGTTTCCTCTAGCTGCTCTGGTTTCCTCCCACAGTCCAAAGATGTGCAGGTTAGATGGATTGGCTATGCTAAATTGCCCATACTGTCCAGGGATGTGCAGGCTAGGTGGATTAGTGATGGGAAATGCAGGCTTACAGGGATAGGGTTGGTGGGTGGGTCTGAGTGGGATGCTCTTCAGAGGGTTGACATAGACTTGATGGGCCAAATGGTCTGCTTCCACACTGCAGGGATTCTACGATTTTATGAAAAATCTGGTAAAGCTCTCCGGCACTTCTTCCAGCAACATAACCATACCTGGTTTAGAGGGATATGGGCCAAATGCTGGCAAATGGGATTAGAATAATTTAGGATATCTGATCAGCATGGACAACTTAGATCAAAGGGTCTGTTTCCATGCTGCACATCCTATGATTCTATTGTGAATTATTCCTTTCCCATATTAGTGAACCACTGCATCTCAGTGCACTGGGGATTTCCATGAGATTCTGACCAGTTTATTTTATCAATTTATTGCCAAAAGTAGCTGTCAAGAGTATGTCAACGTCCAACATTCTGTTTGGTCTAAGTCCTGTTATTTCAGTCCAAGCTTAAAACTCAGTATTTGACTCATTGCACAGATCACCATTCTAAATTATGTCTAATGAACCAACAACTACTTGCATTTATATGGTGTCTTTAACATTGTAAACATATCAATATCATCTTGAATAATTCAACTGCCCACATATAACCTCACCAGTAATTTATAAACAGTAAAAAGGGAATTGTCCAAACATTGAGCCAAATTCCCTCAAAATGGAACTATTGGCTTGATTTTAACAAACAACGTCAACAAGTCACTGAATCCGGGATAAGAATTCTTCTCGTCATTATTTGTGGTTATGTACTAAACGAGCTTAAGTATCTCCATTTGTTCTGTCCAGTGAAATTCTAAGCCTATTCTAAAGCAACATGTTTACAATTTTATAGGGAATAGAGAAATCTTCGTGAAGGAATTAACCACGTGGCCATAAGGAGCGATTAAAAAAATTCTAACCCCACCGCATTCAACAGTTTGCCTGCAGACAAGATGACAAATCCGGAAAGTTCCCAGACTACACTTAAAGCACAACAGGTATGAACCAGAACTATTGAATTTGAGCTCAAAATCAGTGCATCAAACCACCAATGACTCCAAAGTAACCATCATTCAGTTCGCAAATCCAATAGTTTTACTCCACTACATTATAGAGGACAACTTGATGCTACCAAAATCAAAAAGGGTGTCATAGGCCTCCATTTTAAACAAGCTCCAGAATTGTAGTATTTGCCATGTACTGTAAATCATAATACTTTGAGCCTGATGCTATTCAGGTCCTAGGGGTGGCACAGTGGCTCAGTGGTTAGCACTGCTGCCTCACTGCGCCAGGGACCTGGTTTCAATTCCACTCTCAGATGACTGTGTGGAGTTTGCACATTCTCCCCGTGTCTGCATAGGTTTCCACCAGATGCTCCAGCTTCCTCACACAAAAATGTGCAGATCAGGTAGATTGGCTATGGGATTTGCATGGTTACAGGGATAGGGTGGGTCTGGGTGGGATGCTCTTTGGAGGGTCAGCGTGGACTTGATGAGCCAAATAGGCTTTTGCACTTTAAGGACCCTATGATTCTATGCCCAGTCAGGAGACACATAACTCCCTAGTGTCACCCAAATTGGCTACAATTAGGCTAATACAAAAAAAAGGATAAAATCTCTAAGAGTATGAATGGTTTCCCCTGGAATTTGTCCAGTCACTGATTTGTTTGCAAATCAGAACACAGTACAGGACAATGTAAAGCAGCTGTCCTGTAAATACAGGATATGTTTGAACGTCAGGTCTTTATAATTACAGCGCTGTATGGGATCACATTTGTAAGGTCAACTTTCATAAATTGGGAATTGTCTGTGTGACCATGATTATCAAATGTTGGTCAAAACTCTGGCTTCCAGTTGAACTCATTTACCCCTTAACGACTCCATTCAGAGAAATCAGGTTCATCTAAGGTTGTATTTTGGTCAGTGTTTGTTTATTTTGAACTTATTATGTCAGGATTCTTTTACTTTCAGAATTGTCTTCAGTATTTCCTGACAGAGGATGTACCATCTGTCTGAGAGACAATGAAGTGGGGTGTGGCAGTCTGCCATTTCTTTATGTATTTAACAGTCCCTCATCATCAACTTCAGATAGTTTAGCCTGACCACTCAGGCTTGTGGCATTTTAATAAACTCATCACAAAAGGACAGGCTATTATTTATCTTAATGACCAAACAATCAAAAAACAATGTGTTTTTTTCAGAAACCAGTCACTGCAACTGCATCAGTAATTCTTCCTAACAGCAAATCTATATACACATATTGGGATCAAACTACATGAATCGTTCAACCTATGTTAGAAAATGCCATGCCTGTTAACTTATATAGATGGTTAAACTGGCTACAAATGGGCCATGACCTGTTAGTTTTAAAACCTGTTCTGATTGACAATTATGAACAATATCTGTTCATTGTGCTATACCAGTTTAGATCAAAGGTAATAAACATATGATAAGGGCAAGTGGAGTGTGTTCTTAGCTCCTTTGTCACCACTCCATATGGGCCAAATACAATAAAGACTGAGTAACATTTTCTTTTTATTCATCCTTGGGATGTGAGTGTCACTGACTAGGCCATCATTTATTGTCTATATCTAATTACCTTTAGGACGTTGCTGGTAATCTACTCTCTTGAACTGCTGGAGTCTATAATGTTTAGGCGATCCACTCTGCTGTTAGAGATGTAGTTGCAGGTTTTTGATCTAGTGATAGTGAGGAAATAGTGAAGGACTAGCCGGGATGGGGGTTGTGTGTGTGTGTGTGTGTGTGTGTTTTTGGAGGGACTTCCAGCTAGTGATATTACCAAGCATCTGGTGCCTTTATTCTTTTAGCCAGCAGATCTTGCATTATTGGAACGTGCTATCAAAGAAGGCTTGGTGAGTTTCTACAAAGCATCTTGTACATTATACACATTACTGGATCAATTCCCATAGTTTGGGAACTACCTGTCAGTGAGGGCAGATGTCAATCATGAAATGTAACCCTGCTCCCAGTGCACAAACACAGTCTTTGGCTATCTGAGGAACAGAATGATCGATGGCAAAGACATGAAACCCAACACCAACCTCATGGTCTACAGGCCAACAGGGTTACCTGCCCTTCTGTCTGCTTGGCAACATGGGTTAGACTTAGGATTAAGCAAATATTTCAAATCCCTACAGTAACATAACTAGTGATACTCCTGCAAATTCCTGCAAATGCAGTGGCAGGATAAGTGCGCCAATATCAGTGCCCAGTCCCAGGCCAACATTCTTAGCCCTTGTTGCTTTCAATCTGCAGTATTGTGGGACTGGAGTGGTCACACGGTCTACTTTCTTAGCACAGGATTTCTAAAACAAGCTGTCAACTTCCAACTCCGTCACATCAATCAATCACCAAGTGGGAAGAGAAAACACATCAAGGATGTCCTTAAAGCTTGGCTGAAAAACTGCAACATTCCTAACAACTCCAAGAGATCCCTTGATTAAGACAGACCAAACTGCAGAAGAAGGATTCACAGAGGTGCCAACCATCTCAAGATGGTTTTTCTCAATCTTCAACAGGCCAGGTCAAGGCCAATAGCAAAAATAGCAGAAAGAATATATGGCAACCAGTGCATCTCACTGAACCTTCTCTTCAAACAGCATCTACCCCAACTGTGGTAGGGTTTGCAGATCCAGTATTGGACTGTTTAGTATCAACATGGTATGGAGCTGGAAGAACACAGCAGATCAGCAGCATCAGAGGAGCAAGACAGTTAACATTTTGGGTCAGGACCCTTCATCAGAACTGAGGAGAGTTAAGGGAGCCAGGAAATAAATAGAGGGAGGAGGGGTGGAGCTGGGGGAAGGTAGGTGGGATGGTGATCGGTGGATGCAGGTAGGGGATGGTGGGGATTGGTCAGTGGGAAGGGTAAGGTAGATAGGTGGGGAAGAAGATGAACAGATTGTGTCAGGTCAAGGAGGTGGGGATAAGAGGGAGGGTTGGATGTGGAATGAGGCCAGGGGTGGGGAGATTTTAAAACTGGTGAATTCTATGTTCAGGCCATCGGGCTTTAGGCTCCCGAGGCAAAATATGAGGTGTTGCTCCTCCAGTTTGCGGTTGGTGTCACTGTGGCTCTGGAGGAGACCCAGGATGGACATATCATCAAGGGAGTGGATGGGGGAGTTAAAATGATTAGCGACCGGAAGATGTTGTTGATTATCGCGTGCAGAGCGCAGAATTCCATGAAACGTTCCCCAAGTCTGCGCTTGGTCTCACCGATGTAAAGGAGGCCACATCGGGAGCAACAGATTCAGTAGACCTGATTGGAAGATGTACAGGTGAACCCTTGCCAGATATGGAAAGTTTGCTTTGGGCCTTGAATGGAGGTGATGGGGGAGGTGTAGGGGCAGGTATAGTGCTTCCTGCGGTTTTGCAGGGAAAGGACTGTTCAGTCACCTCAGAATCTACAATTCTAAAGTGGAAGAAATTCAGCCCCATTCTCAGGGGACTGCCTGAGGAACAAAAAGACAATTGGTAATGAATGATTTAGTAATATTTAATCACAAATGCGTTTGGCTTTAATTATGCAATTGTGCATTAATTATGATACATCTGGCTTCGAAAGAAAGTGCAAGCAGTAGAGTTATGCATTCCTCTATTAAATGTAAAAAGTCAAAATAGGGAAATTAAACTCACTGATTGTCAATTGAGAAAATGACGCATTCTCATATCATAAGGAAGACTAAGTGACTCTTTTAGCCCGTTTGACTATTCAGTTAGATCCTTTTGACCCAATTTGCTTTCATGCCCTTCAACAGCATCAAAAACCTACCTGTCTCAGTTTTGGCATTTTCAATTGACTTAGTGTCAATGGCTCCTTGGGGCTGAGGTTTCCAGGTTTTTAAGGTGATGTTGATCCTCCATAGTAAAGTTCCTATTAACTTGCTTTCCTAGGTATGGGCACGTTGAGCAATTTGAAGCTGATTTCTCATCATTTGCAGTGAGGCCATTGATCTGCAAGCTGGATTGATCACATGGACTAGTGCAGAAAAAATGAGTCATTCTGAAATCTTTCCTCATTTTGACTTCGGGCAAGAGCCCCACCGTCTGAAAATGTATTACCTAACAGTTTCACAATAAGCAGTGTGGGAGTACCTACACCACATGGACTGCAGTGGTTCAAGAAAGTGGCTCTTCTCAAACTTCTCAAGGTGATTAGAGATCAACACTTCACCAACAGCACTCACACCCCCCATATACACTTCTGCATATTATTTTGTGGTTCAAGTAACAACTTTAACAACTATGTTAATATAACACAGACAAAGTAATTAAATTTTCCAAGGCACTTCACAGGTGCATTTTAAAACAAAGTATGACATTGTACTGCATCATGGAATATTTGGGTGAATGATCAAGGAGTTGATCAATGTGATTCTAAAGAGAACCTTAAAAAAGGACAGAGCACAAGAGATGGAGAAGGTCTGGGGGTGGGTTTTCCAGAACTTTGGGCCCAGACCATTGAAGGCATGCTAACTAACAAAAGAGCAATGAAAAATGAAAAATGCTCAAGAGGCCAAAATTTGAAGAATTCCAATATCTCAGAGGGACTGGAGAAGATTATACAGGTAGGTAGGTTGGAGGGAGACACTATCAAAGAGACTTGAAATCAAAAATTGAGAATTCAACAATTAAGACTTAATTGGCAACCGGTGTATACCAGCAAATGGAATGAAGTGAATCCCACTCCACTGGACAAGAATAATAGACCTTGCAACAGATTGGTGTGATCAACCAAATGAGAAGCTGTGGCTAGGAGGAAAAAAATGAGGAGACCTTGATACAGTCACATAGGATGTCATTTGTGATTTTGATAGGAGCCATCTCCATGGAGGGATTCGAAAACAAAAGTTTTGTGAAAGATTAAATGAATTTGGGAGGCAGCCACACAATCACAGATTTTGGAGATGGAATGGAAGTTGGAAATGGGTTGGAAATCAGTTAGATAATGTCAAAGAGTACACTGTAACAGAATGCAA